TGCTATCAAAGCATACATATAGGCAGAGGAAGCAATGTTGAGTAATAATGCTTATTTCTAACTTATATAAGCAAGAGCTGATTCTATCTATTCTCAGAGGTGCAGAAGTTATTATTTAGTTTTGTTCAACAGTAATATTCTTATTTAAATCTTAGTAGAAAAGAAATTAATTGAAAAACATGAAACAACTTCATAAGAAACAATAAATAGAAGATGACAAAGGGCATGACATTTCATTGGACTGAAAAACAGAGTCTGGCACAAATTAATGCATATAGAGTAGCAATTATGCTAGCATAGGTATAGATACACAAATAGGTACCTTTGGGTGTTGGGACTCCAGGAGACTACCGTACTGCAATGATAATTCCTGGGCACATTCTCAATCCTTCATGTGGTCTTCTACCTTATTACTTACATCCCATTCCTTCACTCACAGGAAACTGACATCAGTTATATTTATCCATTTTTAAGCTTCTATGATATTTAACTGGAAACATGGTATGTTCTAATTCCTTCAATATTCTTTCTACACATAATCTAAATATCTTTAGAGGCTAGAGACTTAAATTCTGACACTGCATGCACTTGGGCATTTCTATAAATTATTTTATTTTAGTTACTGATGTGCTATGCGAGATAGGAAGAAGAAATCTGGATATGAAGCTGTTTAAAGATATCAGGAAGATGGAATATCTGTGCTGGTGGTCATCAGGTTACTTGTAAATCTATGTCTAGTCTTGCCTCTTTCCCCAACCAAGATCTCATACATGTGGCATCTTTAAGTGAAACCATTATGTTTTGGAAAAAAATGGGAGCATTGTACTAATTATGCCCTACTCCTATATATGATTCACTGTCAGTAAAACAAGCTAATAGTGAAACTGTTAAGTCACTAGTTAGTATCAATTGGTTACTGGATGAAAATGCAGTAACTACAGAATCACTGCCTTCATCTGTATAGATTACAGGGCTTTGAAATGGATCTCTTGGGCCAATGAACATAATTGCAAATCTTTCTGCAACATGCTTTGTGCCCCAACCCAAAGGCTTCAAGGCAGAGACTGTATGCACATTATTCATTATGCCATGAATATCTGATGCCAGAACTTCAGAGAAAAGTCATCTATACAATTGTTTCAACCCAGTTCTTTTTAAGGAAGATTAATCTGCTGTCTACCAGCAGGTTCCCCCTACTGCATTATCAGGGCTTCTGCTTGGTTAGATAAGTTTTGCACTTATGCCACAGTTACTAATACTGTACAAAATGCAACATTAGTATATGCATACATAATAAAAAAAACAAATACTGTATAAAACAGATGATAAAATACGTTCAAATTGGGATTTGAAATAACTCTGCAGTACATTACAGCAGATAATTAATATGAACAAATATTCGGCAAAAAGCTGGCTGCAGAACACATTTTATTTGCACTTCTTCCAGAACAGTCTTATGCCATGTAAAATTTGCAAGTTTACCAATTGTTCATTAAGCGTATTATAACTACATAATATTTTTAATTCTTCATTTAATTACAATAAACTCATTTTAAAAAATAGAGCAAAGTCACATTTCTTGTTTCTTTGAATCTGAAAAAAATATCTGTCAGATAAAATCACTCAGATTCACTCTCAGTTGGATGCTGGCATTTATACAGGTCCTGGGGAGATGCCTGGGATGCAGTCCTATCCGGTTATCTGGGAACAGTTTGAACATGTTGGGCCTGAGGAAGTGGACAGGGTCCTTATGACTATAAGCGTGGGCACTTGCTCTTTAGATTCATTTCCCTCCTGGGTGGCCAAGGCCACCCAGGAGATGACATGTGGTGGTGAATTCATCCTTGAGGGAGGAAGTTGTTCCTCTGCCTCTTACAGAGGCATTGGTCCACCCCCTCCTCAAGAAGCCATCACTGGATCCCACCATGCTGGACAATTTTTATCCAATATTTGACCTCCCTTTTTTAAGGTGGTCACGCAACAGCTTCAGATGATTCCAGATGAAACGGATTATCCCCTTCCAGTCAGGATTCAGGCCCAGATGAGAGAAAGAAATGACATTGGTCATACTTTTGGATGATCTCTGATGGGAGCGGGATAGGGATAGCGTATCCATCCTTGCTCTTCTTGACTTCTCAGTGGCCTTCAATACCATCAACCATGGTATTCTTGTGGATTGACTTCAGGGGTTTGGAGTGGACAGCACGGTATTGTGCTGGTTCACTACCTTCTTCCAAGGCTGGTTTCAGTCAGTGTTGTTTGGGAGTGAGAAGTCCAGCTCTTGGCCCCTACTATGTGGAGTTCCACAGGGCTCAATGCTCTCTCCACTATTTAACATCCACATGAAGCTGCTGGGTAAAATCATCAGTCACCATGGGGTAAACTACCATCAATATGTTGATGATACCCAGCTGTATATCTCGGCCCCTGATGAGCTAAATGACACATGTCCTTTTTTTGGTGCCTGGAGGCTATGGGGGTCTGGATGGAGAACAAGAGGTTTCAGCTGAACTCTGGCAAGACTGAGTGGCTTTGGGTTTTGGGGCCTTTTGAATCCAAGGATTTACCATCTTTGGTGCTGAATGGGCTTACACTGCCCCAAACACCAAAGATGGTAAATCCCTGGACCTGGTGTGCAATCTGGGGGTCCTTCTGGACTCATGACTCCTGCTCAAAGAGCAGGTGGCAGTCATGGCCAGGAGGGGCTTTTCACAGCTTCATGTTGTGTGCCAGTTGTGCCCATTCCTGGATCACAAGGCTCTAGTTTCAGTTACTCATGCCCTAGTCACCTCCCGAATGGGCTACTGTAACACACTCCACATGGGGCTGCCCCTGAAGAGTATCTGGAAGCTTCAGCTGGTACAAAATCCAGCAATGTGGTCAGTTATATGTGCCCCAAGAATGGCATATGTTATACCTCTGCTCTGTGAGCTGCATTGTTTACCAGTTTGTTTCCGGATCCATTCAAGGTGCTGGTGATGACCTTTAAAGCCTACATGGCATGGGGCCAGGATATTTGAGGGACTGACTCTCCCCAATCACATTTACCTATTCATCAGGTCCGGCAGAAGGGTCATGTTGCGGGTCCCATCAGGGAAGGAGCTTCATTTGGAAGACCTAGGAAGAAAGCCTTTTCTGTCATGGCACCCACCCTTTGGAACATCATTTCTCCCAAGTTGAGATTCCCCCAACCTTGTAGGCCTTCCAGAAGGCCGTCAAAACTTGATTTTGCCATTGGGCTTGGGGATCTCATGGAGGTGTGGAGCCCATTAAATGGCTGGTATAAGTTTAGACTTATAAAAAGTTTAGAGTTTTTGTTATTATAGTTTTTTTAAATTGTTTTAAATTGATTTTAATGGATGAATTATGTTGATTGTTGAGTTTTTGTTTTAACGTGTACACTGCCCAGAGTCACATGCAAGTAAGATGGGTGGCTATATAAATTCAGTGAATAAATAAATAGGCTTTTTACAGCAGAAAGCATTATTAATAATAAATTACCAATCACACAGGAGTACAAATTTGATGAAAGAAGAATCTGCATAATTTCTACAATGCTCGTTCCTGCCTGAGTGAATGCACTTAACTAAATGCACTGATTTAATGGGACCTAAACTCAACTTGCTTGATCTGGATTCAATCTCAATGCTCACTGAAAAAAACAGAAGTGTATAAAAGACTGTGTGTATGTTTGGGTGGTTTTGAAACATTAAACATATAAGTAATTCTCCCCAACCCTCAACATTAATAAACACATTGGTTCCATTATTGTCTATGGGAGCCAACTGAACATTCATACAAATAATTTTTTATATAAACAGTTTATTTTCTGGAGTTTGTAAAGCAATTATTTTTCAATGCACTAGAATGAGAGAGCTTAATTTGTTTACAGAGCATAATGAGTCTTTACAATCAATGCCAACTCCTCACCATCTCAATAGCCACCATAAGCAACATATTGCTAGAGAGGATGGTTAGCAGATGTATGAAAATGGATATGCAATCAGGCTGGATTTATACAGAAAAGTGTTCCCCTTCAGTATAAGTAGAAAAATGAGGGATCTGCTTGCTAGTAAACCATAACTGTAGTTTCCGCTTAAAATTTGGCTGCATGCCAAGAAATGCAGGCAATGTTACTTCCCATACAAATATATTTTTCTTTTTTTCCTTTTCTGTTAGAATGTTCTTTTATCAATTAAATGGAAAAATTGGCAAAGGTTTCAGTACATTTGAGCTTCATAATTTTTGTTGGTTTTAATGCTCTGTAAAGCTTTCCAACCTACTATTTAAAGAACTCCAGCAGTAGTTTAATTACAAAAGGGTATTATTGTTTTGAATATTTTTCTGTTATGTGTAGCACAAGTTCAACTTTATCCAGAAACTGTGGACAGGTAACATTCCAAATGGTTTGTGACCTTTGGCTGGCTTCATATTTAAGAAGTCCAGCTGCATTCCACTGCCAGGATTATCTCAAGAGCTGACAAACCATTAGATGGAGAAAGAATTTCAGTGGTGTCCTAAGGAGACTGTAGGCCATGTAAGAATATTTAATAACCATAGAGTAAAAAAAAAATATGGGTAGTCCTTCTTAAAATGTGTGTGTACTACTCTGCCAGTTACCCATGTTTGTGTTAATGAAGCTTCAGAATAATCTGAATTGTTGTAAAAAACATAATTCAACAGCTGAAAAAGAGAACCATTTAACTGAATACAAGAGAGAAAAATCCACTGGAATTGGTCAAATCACATATGCCATTATTTTAAGGCAGAATAGCCTAACAGTTAACAATATTAACTGAAGAATAAAATGTACACTAATTAGGACTGAACAAAGCCTTGACAAAATTTCAAATAAAGCATCCCTTCAAAGCTGTTTTGTGAAGTACTGAAGGTCTTAATGCAGAGATGGAAAAGAAAAGCAACATATCCACTTAGCTTTAGAATACGCAGGGATCCCACTTGGTTGCCATGTGCTACAAACTAGTAGGAATGTACAAAACTTGCTAATTTGGCCACAGAACATTCTGGAAAATTTCAGGTTATGAGTAACCCCTTTGGATCATGCTATTTCAGGATGGTTTCTGGAAGACATTTTTGAGAACTGACAGCAGATTAGGGTATCCAAGATACGGGATTCTGGACAAAACAGGCCTGTTTCAGGGCTGGACCACACTGAAACAATTCAAACCAGTTCCAGCTCAGAGGATTTAGACCTGAAAACTGTCAAAACTGTCCCTGGAATGACATGATTTAGAGGAAGAGAATGTTCCAGAGATTCTTGCAATGATCTGTTCCAGAATTCATGAATTTTGGACTTTCCTAGAAAGAAGGTCAAGAATCAAGCACTATGTGGGAAGAACTTCTCGTTCACTGCTGGCCAAGGGCTTTCTCAGGCTGAGCAGTCCCAGAGTATGCTGGGGAAATTCTGCAATGTGAGCTGAAGCAGTCAGAACTAAGACCCTCTCAGCACTCCCAAAGCTTTGACTAGAGAGTTTGGGGGAAGCCATACATATTTAAGTGATGATTACCATAAAGTAGTGTTCTTCAAGTATTTGTAACTCTGGGAACTATTACACTATTACTTCTCAAGACAACAGGATCCACCTTTAGGTCACAACCCATTCTTAAAAAACTCAACTGAAGTGTAACAACCCATCAGCTTATAGCTCTTTGGACTTGAAAAAATCTCATTGCTTGGATGCCTTTCAGAATGCTTATGATTATAAAAGTTCCATGTCATTCGTTTAATGACCTAGCTGGTATGTAAAACATTTGGAAAAGTCTTCTTACAATAATCAAGCAATTTTAAGCCAATGCACAATGTTGTCCTTAACTACGTCATTTTGCAAAGTACTTATCTTTTGCTCAGTTTTGAATGTAATGACTAATCCATAATATTCCAGGTTCAGTTTCCCATATCACTCCTTAATAGGATCTCAAACAAAGCGCTGAGCAAAAGCTCTGGGAAAAATGACTAGTCTAATAAACATGAATATCAGCATATAAGGCACACAGATGAAAATTCTTTCCCTTCTATTAGATTGCTTTCTCAAGAAACTAGTTACCAAGGTTTTTTTTTTTTTTAATGGCAGAAAAGACAGTATTCCATAATCAGAATTTATTCCTCAACTAGGAATAAAAGGAGAGTAATCTAAGCATATTTAAAGAAAAAACAAAACCATTAACATGGCAAATATTTATACATTATACCTACAGAAAAAGGCAACTGATTACAAATCAACTGAACTGTCAAAAGTTTAAATAAAAGAACTAAACCATTATAATTTTGTTTCTTTTTTAGGCATAATAAAAGAAGTACAGGTATAATTCTACCATTCCACTGTAAAATATCATGTGTTCAGTACCTTTTCTTTTTTGTGATAATGAGGACATCATTAAAGAGGAAGAAGTATACTTGTTGCTTAGAGGTCCTTTTAGAAAAAAGTCCAGTGTCTTCCACAAATGCTGCCAATTCACCCCGTTTCACTAACCATCGTGAAGAAGAAACCAGTGGAAAGGGCTACAAAGTAAGAAAACTGCAATTTAGCCTTTTCTCTAGATTTTCTGAACAGACATGGGCATTTTAACAATAAATGGGTATTCCTCCTACAGTTCTAGATGCAAAAGACAACGAACTGGCATTTACTAGCCAGGGTTATGAATTGTACTGTAATCTTTATGCATCATTGCTTTCAGGAAGCACATTTGTTATCTTCCAGAGCATCAACTGAATAATCTCACTTCGCCATAAGAAAATAAACATAGCTTATTCTCACTGTGCCAAGTCAGCATTAAAACAAAACAGAAGTAAAAACTTTGCATAAAAATATATAGAAGAAAGTACTGTACCTTGATTTTAAATTCTAATTGGGAGTTGATGGTATACATCATTTCTGTCCTTTCCATTTTTCGAGCACCTTCATTGCACAGACGAACCAACTGGAACAGAAGATATCTCTGTCATCTGGCACATCTGCACTCAGTACTAAAAACTGTTACTTTTCCTTCACAAAGTACCATCTTTCAGAGGTACATAACAATAAGGGGATCAAAAGGAGATTTTTTTATTGTGCAACTATCTTTCAAAGAACTAACCTTTTCTACAAACAATGTAATTAAGAATGCTACTTCCATTAACTTTTTTTTAAAAGGACACTGCTTACAATTTCCTTAGTATTCCAACTCATAAAAATATGATTGGTTTTTCCCAACTGGCCCCATCCAACACACAAGCACACATTCCAGGACATAGTAGGTGTTTTGTAGCTATTGACATATTTTGTTTCGATGGATGGATGGGTAGGGTAGGGTAGGGTAGGGGATCGAATGCTTCCTAACGCATTTTTTTCTCTGCAAGTTTTGTACTTCTGGAAAACTTGGTGTTGACCCAGTCTGCTAACTTTTGCTAATTACTTGGTAACCACAGCCATCACAATTCAGGGAAGTTTCACAAAACGTGCTAACCTATACATCCTAGCTAGAGAACACATGGCACGCTGTGTGCAAACAAATAAACAGTCTAAGACAGTGTGTAAGCTAGATTCCATCTACACAAAACCTCCCGCCGTCCCTTATAGCATAAGAACTCAGAGAAATCACTGGGTTTAGACTTTGGATGGGGGCTATACTTTCATCTCTCTCCTCTCATTCCAAGAGCTATAGTAGGAGCTATAGTAGCAGAACCTCAGAGCTCAGGGGCTTCTGTGGTACTTTTAAATGCCACTCCTGTCCATAATATCATCCTCATTGGGAATGAGAAGGCAGACCTGATTTGAATCACCAAAGCCTGGGTGGGAGTAGAGAGTAGGCTTCTACCTTGGAAATCTGCCCACTCGGGTTTCAAATCTGGCACCAGCTATGGTCGCTGTGTAGGAGTGGGGGACCTAGAACTACGCAAAGCCCTAGGGAACACTGACTATTTGGATTCTGGGCAGGCAGGTTTCAGACCAGGCAGGTTTCTAGCACAGGAACTGCCCTGAATGCACTTGTCTGTGGAGCCCTCCTGGTCCTCTTTGACCTTTCAGTGGCTTTTGATACCATCAACCACAGTATCTTTCTGGACTGTTTGTAAGGGACTGGAGTGGGGGGGCAGGCTGTTTTGCCATTGGTCTCCTCCTTTCTAACGGCAGTTCCAGTCAGTGGGGAGCAGAGTGCTCTCTCCAGAAACTTGTTTATGTGGAATGTCTCAGGGCTCTTTCCCCTCTCACACCTTTTAGCATCTGCATGAAGCCACTGGGGCAGGTTGTTACAGTGGGCTTTTATATTAATACACTGATAGTACCCAGTTATATACAGGGGGCAAAAAAGTATTTAGTCAGCCACCAATTGTGCAAGTTCTCCCACTTAAAAAGATGAGAGAGGCCTGTAATTTTCAAAGTGGGAGAACTTGCACAATTGGTGGCTGACTAAATACTTTTTTGCCCCCTGTATATAACTGGGTACTATCAGTAAGTGGGAGAACTTGCACAATTGGTGGCTGACTAAATACTTTTTTGCCCCCTGTATATAACTGGGTACTATCAGTAAGTGGGAGAACTTGCACAATTGGTGGCTGACTAAATACTTTTTTGCCCCCTGTATATAACTGGGTACTATCAGTAAGTGGGAGAACTTGCACAATTGGTGGCTGACTAAATACTTTTTTGCCCCCTGTATATAACTGGGTACTATCAGTAAGTGGGAGAACTTGCACAATTGGTGGCTGACTAAATACTTTTTTGCCCCCTGTATATAACTGGGTACTATCAGTAAGTGGGAGAACTTGCACAATTGGTGGCTGACTAAATACTTTTTTGCCCCCTGTATATAACTGGGTACTATCAGTAAGTGGGAGAACTTGCACAATTGGTGGCTGACTAAATACTTTTTTGCCCCCTGTATATAACTGGGTACTATCAGTAAGTGGGAGAACTTGCACAATTGGTGGCTGACTAAATACTTTTTTGCCCCCTGTATATAACTGGGTACTATCAGTAAGTGGGAGAACTTGCACAATTGGTGGCTGACTAAATACTTTTTTGCCCCACTGTATCTCAGGGATTCAGGGGGGAGGGAGGGCCACTCTGAGTCTCTTCATAGCACTCTCCTGTTTCCCTGGGCTTAATGCATGTTTATTCTCCACCTGGTGTTTCTCTAATTGCCTCTGGATTCCTTCTCTAAGGTCCTCTCCCTGGCCATCTACACTTTCTCATAGCCACTCACGCCCTAGTCTTCTCCCCCAGGGACTACTGTAATGGACTCAGACATTCAGAAGCTGCAGCTACAGCCCAGGCAGTAATGGGTAATATCTGGCATACCGGATTGATTCCTCTGCTTATGGAGCTGCACTGGTTGCCTGTCAGCTTTCAGGTGTGAATCAAGGAAGTTACTACTGGTTGTCACTTTCACAGCCCTCTGCGGCTCTAAATCTGTTATCTGAGGAACTGCCTTCTCCCGTATTCATCTACCCATCCAATTAGACTGAATGGGGTCAATTCCGCCAGGTCTTGTCCCTTCATGATTGCCATCTGACAGGCCTCAGAAGCGGGATTTTAAAACAGCCCCCATACCTTGGAATTCCATTACCACAGAGGTTTTCTCTGGCTGGGACTCTCCTAGCCTTAGCTCTTAAGACCCGCTTTTTTTGTCTAACACAAGAGGAGGGGATGCTTTGAACGGTAGTGAGGTTGTGGGCACGATGGTTATTTTGCTGGTTTCATTTCTGATTGATTCTTTTATGTATGTTTGCATTGTATTTTCTTTTCTCTATTGTTAGACTGCTACTTTATGCTCAGTCCTCCTCCAAGTGAATATTTATTTATACGACATACATGGTAGCCCATATGTTTCTGGGTGACTCACAGAAAAGCAATAAAAACACAGACAATAAAACCAGCATTGAAACACCCAGGACCAAAAACTAACATTCCTCCATACAGCAATGTTTAGTTTGACCAGGCTCCAGCCTCACCCTATCCCAACACCTGGAGGAAGAGTCAGCTTTTCAAGTCCTTCTGAAATTTACTTCCTGATCTCCTTTTGACTAAGCTAGAAGGACACACTCTAGTCTATAGATTCTCAACTGCCAAAAGCCAATGACATGTGTATTACTACTGACCGACTTTTAAAAATAATGTAACACTTGTTATTTCCTTATTCCAAAGGAAAAAAATGAAAGGAGTTCAGTGCCAGAGAAGCAAAAAGCAAGTTTTTAAAGTTTTCCCCTTATTCTTTTTTTTTCCTATTGCAAAGTTCAACTTCAAGAATTATAACACCACAAATGCTGATTCTATTTATTTCCAAGCTATATCATTAAATCCATTTCCCAAGCATACCATTGGTGAAAAGTACCACGAGATGTTGCTTGAAAAAAA